GCTTTTTCCTGCGCCCGGGGCGCGAAATGCCACGACTCGAGAACGATAAAATAATCCTTTTGGGGCAGGACAGGGCGAGTCGGCGGTCTGCCGCCCGCCCGGGGCTGCGCTCGTTCGTTTCCAACCCCGATATTTCAAGTTGTGCGTTGCGATTACAAAAAGTGCAGTAATACGTTAAACCAGGTAGTTTGTGAAGGATTAATCCTTTGCTTGCTTCAAATCTGAACAGGAATCTCCACACAAATGCCCCACATGTGGAAGAACCTTTAATCAAAGAAGTAATCTGAAAACTCACCTTCTTACCCATACAGACATCAAGCCCTACAACTGTGAGCAGTGCGGCAAAGTGTTCAGGCGAAACTGTGATCTACGGCGGCACAGTCTAACTCACACCCCGCGGCAGGACTTCTAGAGCAGCCAGGGACCCGCGCCCGCTCCGGCGGCTCCAACTTGCCCATTTTACTCAAGGACTGTGTTGTAGGAACTCACAGACACGCACACACACCCGCGGAGGCACAACACGCAGACTCGGGGCCAAGCTTTTCCTACCACACGTCTGCGAAACTCCTTTAGAGAGTGCGGACTGCAGGATCGGGCCCCTCTCCAACCCACAGCCAGGCGTAAAGCTCATCTTGTAGATACTCGCGGCTCATTTTAGAGCTCTGTACAGAATGTGGTTTTCTTCGTTCGTTTGTTTCGTACCGTCGTGTCAGATGCACATCGATAACAAATCGGGGAGGCAAAGTATCTCTTAAAAGTGTATTTCAAAATAAATCTTTTTTTTTTTCCAAATACCTCCTGCCTTGTTGTATTATTCTCTGAACATTTGGGCTTTTTTTTCCTGCTGTGTCAATGCAATGGTAAAGCATATTGAATAAATTTCCTAGCCGGGTAATTTTACTGTCACAACAATTCTGGTGATCGCTTTTGTTTGGCCTGTTTCACTGTCGCTGTTGTGTTATCTATTGTTAAGTAAAATGAAAGTGCCGTATTTGAGAGTTTATAGCTCTATTACTTAATAGTATGAATGTCTAAATATTAACTTCTGTACTTTATTTTCCCGAACGAAATATTTTTTTTTTTTTTTAAAGAAGAGAAAGAAAGAAATACTTGCAAATAAACAGATCTTAGGAAATAATGCATAGAGCCGTTCTTACGCCAAAGCGGCTTATTAGTAACTTATTTGCAATCAGCCCGTGTATTGTAAAAGTCATCCCTCTCGCGGAGATTGCAGCAGGCAGCCTCCTGCCCGTAGACTTTGGCCACGGGCAATTCACCCGCGTAGACAGGGACTTTATCCTGCAGAAGACGATTCTTTCCCGACAGCTCTGGAAGCAAACAGCGAGGCGCAAATACCGCCCCCCGCCCCGGGGCTCATCCGCGGGTCCCTCGCAGGGCAGAGCCCG